TAAATGTCAAATTAGTGACTCAAAGCGAATGGCAGAACAGCAAAGATAAACGTGAAGATATAAAAGATATGCCAGACATGCATTATAAATCAATTTCCAATTAAAACTGAAAATTAAGAAGGCAGAAGAATATTGAAACAGCTAACGAATATTGAATACGCTTAAGTGGAGATAAATATGTGTGAGAGGTGGGAGGAAGGCGTTTTATATATGCTGACATATATATGGTTAAATTATATATCATAATTTTTAATACATAAAAAATTTATATGATATTTTACTTTTGTTTTAGGCTGATGTATATACATATATTACAAAAGATACAGAAATTCTTGTCAGTTAGGTCTTATGTCTAATATAAAAGTTCTTTGATAAGTTGTGAATGAAATGAGTGAAACTTTTGGTATAGAATGATTTAAGCCGAGGCGAATATTTACTAAAAATCTGTCAATATTTGGTTTACCAATATAATGCATTTTGATTCGGCTAGGCAACTACACACATTTCGGCTTCACTTCCCACTTCATTCTGCTCAAAAATCTATAAAGATTATCTCTAATCAAACACCTCAGCTTGAGTTTCTAACAAAGCTGAACTCAAAGGTTCCCCATACTCTCCACTCGATAGAGCATTGAAAGCAACGCAGTCAAACAAGCATACCGGAAATATGAAACCCTGTGTGTTCGACCACGTGTGGAGTTGCCGTTGAAGTGTTTCAGCGTTTTAGAGTTTCATTGAATGCGGTTAGATTGGAAATGAATCGAGGTTAATCAGCGCTAGAGAAATTTAAATAACATAAAGAAGAATTTCACTTTTAAACTGGCCCATTTTTTCTTGAACTGTTGCAGTCGCAGCATTTCAGTTCCATTTCATACATATGCATATATCGCCTATATATACTATGTAAGTCTCTCTGTCTGTCTAATATTTATAATATATTACTTTACAAAATAGCTTGTACTATATTCATATGTATATATATATAATTCGATTTTGGCCAGTCACGTTTTCATATTTATTTGGTAATTTGGAGTTGGAACGTTGAAATGCTCCAAACTCTGAGCTGCCCCCACAACGTGTGCCGGGTTGTCTAAGGTCAGAGACAGAGAGAGAAAGATGCTGTTGCGGCTGCTGTTGTTGCTGAACGCCTGCCCCGTGGGCCAAAATCAACAAACGCAAAACAGACATAAGTCTGAAATATGCCTGCAACAACAAAAACAATAACAAACAATCATAACAACAACAACAACAAGCTGGCGCCTCGGTCACTTTGATCTATGCACTTCAAATGATTTTTTTTCACTCTTGGCGTTGCCTTTTTTTTGTGCGCCGTCTTCAGTCTGATCGTCTTTTGGGATCTGCTGCTGTTGTTGTTGCTGTTGTTGTTGTTTGTGACGATGCGTAAACAACGAAGCGGCAGTTGAAATGAAACGGCAACTTTTTGGCCTGCCAGCTGAAGCGGCAAAAAAGTTGGCATACATATAGACAGACAGACATATGTATATGTATGTATAGGTATCTCTCTTCTTGCGGGCGTCAAAGTGGAGATAGTGGCAACAGCAACAGCAGCCGAAGAAACTTTGCAACCGTAAAAGTGTTCGCCTAAGTGGGACCTGTGGTAATGCTGATCTTTTGCAATCGAGGGAGACGAACGAACGTTTGAGGCATGGGCGGGCCTTTAAGATGTTTTCCTTTGATAGCAAGCATATGGGTTACAGGCTAGTTCTTGGTGTTGGTCTCTCTCTCTCTCTCTCTCTCTCTCTCTCTCTCTCTCTCTCTCTCTCTCTCTCTATCTTTGGTGAAATAATAATAATAATACTGGACTGGTCTATGTTTATAGTTGATATGCATGATTGACTAGATGGAACTATAATTTGCTTAGTTAATTGTAATAATTCAAGCTAATAAATAATAATAATTATTTGTCTAGAGTATCTGCAAGGATTTGATGGTAAAAACAATAAAAAAAAAATAAATAAATAATAGAATTTCTAAATTTTAAAATGGAGTACTTATGTAGATATAGTAATTGTATTGTTGCTAAGGGATTTACTTTATTGTGACATTAATTGAATACTTTCGAATATAAAATAATAAAATTAATATTCTATAAGAAGAACCAACTAAATGTCAATAGAATATGTGCAAAAGCTTTTGTAATATTCTGATATAAATAGAAAAATTCTTTATTTCCTTTTATTATTATTATTATTATTTATTTTTATTTATATATTTATATTTATATATTTTTGTTTATATACTTATATTTATATTTATATTTATATTTATATTTATATTTATATTTATATTTATATTTATATTTATATTTATATTTATATTTATATT